TACACACACACACACACACACACACACACACATTTTTATTGCAATTATTGTAAGAGTTATACGCCTCCATTGACACAGTTTAACTCAGGAAGGAGACGGGCGCCAGGGCCAACCCAGGCTGAGTGGGAGTATAGAAGGGGAGTTACGGTACGTCCCTTTCAGATTGCAAATCATTATCAAAACACAGGAGGAGCCTGGAGGACCTGAAGTAAACAGCAGCCTTCACACAAGCGACTGGGTGTCCATTTAGAGATTATAAACTTTTTGTTTTGGTAAACGATTTACAGCGTTCGCAACTGCCTAAGATCATATGAGCACATGAGACACATTTAACGTTTTCAGTTTGGTAGAAATTTTGAATTTTGCCCAGGTGGCGGTCGATGCCTACTTTTATCGATGTTAGGACCATCAAGGGATCTTTAACATGCGCAACTTGGACACGGGACTTCCAATATTTTTCACCCTTATCAGAGAAGGCTAGGGTGAGATCAGGGGTGTGGCTGAAGGACAGCAGTAAGAAGGAGCCAAGGAGTAGCAGTAGAAAGGCTGCACAAAGGGTCAGGAACCCAGAGGAGGGGGCAAAGGGGAAGGGGCGGAAGGTGGAGACGAAAGCAGACAATAGAACATGGTAAGAAAGCAGGAAAGGAGGTGAAAGAAAATTTTAGAGAAGAAAATTTTCTGTCGCTGTCAGGTTTTGAACCCGGGACCTATTGAATTAGAGGCAAACACTGTAACCTCTAGACCTCGACAGCCTCTAGAGATGAACAAGACAAGGGAGAAGAAGAGAAGATTTCATCATAAACAGCTCATTTCACTACAAATAGAAACAATCTCAACCAAAATCATAAATAGGCAAGATGTATGGTACTTTTATTAGCTTTTCACAAAGTTCCGGCAATATGACAAAAAGCACTGTGCAAGCTATAAAGTAAATTATTATCCATGAATCAACACACCAAATGTTAAAACACAACATGAAAAATTCCTTATGGTTCTGGGTAATGTACAAGAGGTTATCTCTAGATTGTCCCTGTCATTTACATAGACACAAATAAACAAAAGTATCTTCCTTCTCAGTAGTAGTAGGGAAAAGGAGAAGAATTTTTGTATGTTGAAAAAAATAATAATGACTCACTGGCAACGTTCTGACAAGAAAACCTTCCAAATTCCTTTCTGTTCATGCCAGGAAATAGATCTACCCAAAAAAATATACCATATTACAAAAATTGAAACTACATGAAATAAAATCCTTTTTGAAAACAGAAAATTCTATCAAAAACTTTCACCAACATACATAACATTCATTCCCAGTCATATAAACAAAACATACTAGAAGGTATATGGGTTTGTCTGTGTATGTGGATGTGTGCCTGTATGTATATGTGCAATCTTGAGTGAGTGGGGGTGAAAGAAAAATAGAAAATATATCCAATTCAGACACATAGTGCGAGCATACAGAACATGTGTCAGGAAAAAGACTGAATAAAGAATTTTGGGGAAAGAAGAAGATTAGGACCATGACCAGTCCGTGATGTGTATGATCATCTCACAACCTTAAGCCACTAATAAACATAAGAGAAAGAAAAAAAAAGTGCATAAAAACAACTATATATAGATTTATTTTGCCTCCTTACAGCAGTTGCCTTACAAATGAAACATGAAGGATTTTTCTACTGATCTAAACTTCAAACAAAAACACATTCCAACAAATGAGGATTTCGTAGACTGATGACTTTGTTTTAAAAAAGTGTAAAAAAAGCTTCTGTTAAGATTTCTTTAAACAACCAATTATAAAGATTGATTAAAAACCAGAAAACACTTCGTGTTCACCATCTGTCAACAGTTTCCGATCAATAATCAGGATAAATGTCACAGAGGCGCTTCACTGAAGAAACTTCAACAGAAATCTTGACTTATGACAAATTTGACATTCAAACCACTCACGAACGGAATGTCTGACATTTCCAACATCCGACTCCCCTCAGCGTAAAGATTAGGAATCAAACTCTGTGTATCTATTGCATTTTGCTTGTATATAATATAAGCAAAATCTAGGAGTAAAAAAGGTCATACTTTCTAAAGTTGATCGTTAAATTGAAATAGATATACCTTTCAAAAAGGGTACCCTAAAAATTCCATTCACAAACCAAAAAAAAGATTTCCATATTTTAAAAAAGACCTTGTGTTGTAATTCCCACAATATTAATCAATTATTAAAGGAAAAGAAAAATCTGTTAAAAAAGAACCAATATACGCAAATCAAAATAGTCTAGTCTGCATATCTTATCACATTTTCGCTCTGTGAACGCTGCACAAGCCCTTGACTCCAACAGCTCAGAATTCTCTCTCCATGGTCCTCCTTGAATGATGGTCAGTTACAAGTTGGCAGACATTCCCTGTGGACCACAAGACGACATCACAAAACAAATTAATTTATGCAGCTGACGATACTTTTTTCAATCTGAGTCATAGAGGGGCACATCTTCACAATAATGTCTCGATAAACGTTACAAAAAAAGCAAGATGTACAAACCAGAACAACAAAAGGAGAGTAAATAAGAGGTGTGATTTATCAGAGGGAGCCTGCAGCTCCCCCACATGGTTGTTGCAGTAGCTGAGATGACGTCAGAAGAGAGTGAGCTCAAGAACAGTCACACTTCATTAGCTAGACCATCAATAATATTTATTTATAGAGGCACCAGCCATCCATGTCCAGGTGCTGTTTTAGCCATTTCATTAGCTACAAAAACAAAGTAAGACTGTACAGAAACGGAAAAAATCAGACCTCATAGAAAGCATCCACTACCCACCCACAGACTCCTAATCAAATATTAAGACAAGCTAAACAGTATTTGTTGAAAGGTGTTTTTGACACGATTTGCGCTTGTAAAGCGCTGAACCCAGAATTTATTTCTCAGGCCAGATGACGTCTTTTTTGCTTAGCCACACAATGTGATTCTGCAGAATTTTAACTTTGTAGAAGAGGTAGAGGCTAGATTAGAAAAACAAGTTAATGACAAAAACAACAAAGAAAATGTAGATGTTCAGAAACTCCAACTGTCATTAACAAGTAGTCGCTAACCCAAAAACAGAAACCCAACTCCAACACTTAACGGCATAGGAAAGCCTTAAATACAAGAAAATTACATTTGATAAAAATTTCATTTGAGAAAGACCTTTCTTCAAAGGCAATATTTGTTGTTGTTGATGTTTGTGTTGTTTCCAAAGGTTTCTAAAAGCTTTTCTATGATATTCCCAAATAATTGTGCCCCTTGCAGCTTTCACAATTAATCCATAGAACTACTGCTGGTATACCCACCCACACACCATCACTTCAATGGTGTACTGACTGGTGGTGTCTTCATCTTTAGTCCCTAATTATTATGCAAAGTTACACGCTTAACACCAACAAAAACAAAACTGAGCACAACACACAAGAAGACCACCCATCCACCAAGCCACAGTTTTTAGTTTTAGTAGAGGTTTTACGGCAGTCGCAACTGCAAAATGTCATATGAGTGCCAAGGGGTGGGTGTCAACAGAGAATTCCTTACAGGGAATCAGGCTTACTCTGCTCACCTCTCTAGCTTAAATAGCACCAAGTCTGCTTCGACTATCAAGACACCCCGGAAATAGCGGGTCACAAGAGTGTGACAAACATACAAAAGAAGTAGAGGAAAATGACAATAGTAAGGATTAGGAAAGAAAAAGCAGCAGTTCCCTGTTGTAGTTCAGGCACAGTTATGAGCATGACATTGTTAGATTAGCCCATTTACAATTCTACTGCGCACTAGAACGAGAAATGTCCTCCATTTGGGAAAGGCCTAAAGACACTACAGTCAGTGACACCGCCCCGATGGGTAAAGCCACAGTTTATCTCGGTCACACTCCCCACTCACCGCTGAAGCAGACTTGTACTTGGCCAGTCCCTCTCGCAGCCTGCGGCCAAACTCGGGGTCGGCCTGGGCGAAGTTGTTGACGGCTCTCTTCTGGATGAACTCTTGGGCGTCCTTCAGGTGGCCTGTGATGTTGTCCACCAGCCTCGTCCTCTCGTCGGGGCTCAGAACCTACAGGAAACATCATAGGGAGTGAGAGAAGAAGATGTATTCAGTGTCATCCAGTTTTAGTAAGTTTTACGCATTTGCAACACAATAAGGTCATATAAGTGCCGAAAATTAGAGGTGTGACAAGAGAGTAACAAACAAACAAAAAAGAAGGAGGGGAGATCTGGATGACAGATGTTTGATAGGAAAGAAGGAGCATACCACACCAGAGCACCCGCCAACCATCCACATTCAATGTCCAATTTTTAATTTTTTTCTTTTTTTTTTTGGTAAGAGTTTTATTGTACTTGCAACACAACCAGGTCATATAAGTGTTGAAGATTAGAGGTGTTACAGGAAAGTAACAAACACAAAAAAGGAGGAGAGAAAAGAATGTTTGATAGGAAAGAAGGAGCAAACAACACCAGAGCACCCGTCAACCACCCGCAAAGGAAGAGGCGAGATAAGGACGATAGAAGTTTGATAGGGAAAAAGAGGCAAACCACCCTTGAGCATCCACCAACTACCCACAATGACAATTTAAAACAATAATTAATAACAATAAATGACAAGAGACAGTGTTCTATTGCAGAAAAGTCCGAGAAGCAAAGTCTACAGGAAGGGATAAGAAGAAGATGTTATAAATTCCCTCTGAACAGCAAGTTCTGTGTGCTCTACAATTTATATTATTATCTACCCCTGCAGACCTGATTGCATTCTAAAACAATCTCAACTTCCTGGGAAGCAATTCAGTTAGGGAAAAATCTTAACACGGCTGTTCTCCACAGAGGTGATATGGAACGAACAGTCATGGTAAAAAAGACAGCAAATAAAAACGAAGAGCATTGAAGCTAGATCGCATTAATATATGAGGATGTTGAATGGGACAATGATAATAGCTGCATGACAATGATGGCAAAGAAAACAATAACATGAACAATATTATTAAAAATAATGATGATGATAACAGACCTTTGTAACAACAATTACAGAGACACCAATAATAATACAATGACTTTGATTGATGATGAAAGTAAAAACAGCATAAAAAAATCATGCGCTACATCTTCCCATACTGTAACATAAGAAGTGAGACTGAACAAATACTATACCACAAATGTGACTGAAACAAATAAAGAAACACACAGAGCGACACGTGCAGAGCACACAAACCTTGTTCCAGAACAGGCCGACTTGCGAAAAGTTGTCGTCATCCGCTGTGTTGTACCGCTGCACGTCGCCAGAGATGTGCTGGCAGTTCTCCACCTTCTGCACGTTGTCCACGGGCCCCGTGAAGCTGTTGGGGAAGTAGTTCGGGGCTCCCTCTGCCAGGGGAAAATTAAAACAGAAAAAAAATTTCAGTGATAACAAAAAGTATCTATTTTTATATTTGAGTTGCTTTAGAACCTCTCTCAACTCATAACTCAGATGAAATGTTTCATTTTCAGTATTAGTAAACAGGAGAACATCAGCATGATACTGGGATTTCGTATTGGGAGG